GATTTCCTCTTTGTTTGTTAACATATCAATCGAAATGTCCAAATTATTAACCCAATGCTGTTCCATTTGATGCGCTAACGTTTTAATAAAATTAGGATAATTAAATGACAGTTTTTAAAGGTGGATTGAATATAATTCCCATCACGTGGTTTTGTCTTCCTTTTCATAAGAAAAATGTACATATTAAGGAATTTATAAAGGTAATCTTCATGACATGTACAGTAACAGGAATTCCAAGAACGTCTCGAAAATATTTTATAAAGAGAGCTAGTTCTGGCAAATATTCCACTGCAATGATTATGATGTACGTGGTTGCCACTTAAATATGATTTTTGTGATTAATGAAGTTATCTGTTATTCGTATAACATTTACTGATTGAACTTTTATCAGATATAAGTGTAAAGGCGAAGAATTATGTGAGGGTTCTTGCATTAGGGGAACCTAATTATTTAAGGGCTGAGCAAAAAAAATTCACAACTTCGTAATCAACGTGCTTTTTTCTATCGCCTTTTTTTATACTCTTAATGCAGGTGTATACGACCAATAATCTATTTAATGAGGGAATCCAAAATGTTAATTTAATATATGTAACATGAAGACATACGAAAAAAGAAGAAATATGCTATTAAAGTTCGGTTAAAATACGCAGTATGTACCACAACTTGTATAAATTTAAAAAATTAGAAATAAAAAAAAAAATCGCGTCAGCGGATCACCGACCGATAACTCCACAGTTACTATAGTAACGCACTAATTGGTTGATTTACCACAAATTGGCAAACTGTGAATAAAGTCTTATTTTATTTTCTAGTTATAAAATAAATCATTTTTAATCAACAATGTCATAATCGCGGCGCACTAAATGAATTAATTACCTTTTTCTCGCCCAATTTATAATTATTAATAATTACAACTTTTTTAATTTTGTTCAATTAAGTTCAATTTTGGCAAATTGACGCATCTTAACATTTTGAAATATTATTTGCTATCAGATATTTCAGGTATTAATTATTTATTAAATTACTATTTTGTGTAATAATAATTAATTTTAAGACCCGAAGTTTTATCCATGTAAAATTTCATACATCTTAGCATAACGTGATCATTGATTTATTAAGAATGAGTGTTTTTATGACACGAAATAAATAAAGATATGAAATTACTTTGAACGAATTTCTCGATATATTTGATTTTGATTCAAAATAATAAAACTTTTTTTTTTGATTTGTGTCAAAACAGATCAAATGAATATTTTTTAAAATAATTACTCTAATGTTTGACTCTATGCCTTAAATTGCTACTAATAAATTAATTAAGAATTGAATTCAAGAAAAAATATGTATATATTTCCAAATTGATCCATTATAATAATAATAATAATAATAATAATAACACTAATTTACATTTGATCTGTTAACTATAGAATTTAACGAAAATTTTTTTGATTAATAAATGAAAAATTTTAAAACTGAAAAAATAAAATCTTCTTTATGATGATCTACCGTATTAATAGTATCAATACGTTTGATACTGAGTATAAAATTTCGGATTGGCCTTTCTAATCCAGATTACCCTGACGCAACACCATCGAATCTTGGTGACGTAAACCAAAGATTATAAAAAAATTTAAAAAAAATTTTGTCACAATGGCTTATATCTATCGCGGAAAGCTTCTATACTTCGAGAAACGTCTTGGTCAATTTATAACGCATCTATTGATTACCTACACAACGAAACTTACCTGATATCTCATAATCTTTCATCCAGAATGTTAATTGAATCACTCAACCGAGAATTATCACATTAATTGTAGGAAGCCTCTACAAGTTAACGTTCGCTCACACCAGACAAAATCCCTTAAACAAGAGAAAGAGAGTACTTGCTCCCTAGGACGATCTTAACATAAACTTTACACAGTTTAACTGAAATCCTCGTAACATTCGAACGCATTCCTTATACTTTGAAACCGTTGGCGCCTCAAAGGTGAAGATATCGATCAAAAAACCATTATTCAAACTCCCTCAAGCGTGTTGCCGCTTGGTTGACCAAAAACAATTCCTTTCGCTAACATGATATTGTACTATGAACGATATTAACAACATAACTGACACTTTTCCAAGTCGAATTGTGAACACTCAAGAATTGATGGTTCCGAACACTGACTTGTAATATTTCATCAAATGACGCCATATCACACAATATTTCATGTGATTTGTTTGTAATAAATCTTTTGTACACGTCATTTGGATTCATAGATTTGTAATATTAATATCATGCTCCTATAACAAGTCGAGCCCAACCTAAAAATGTCTGAAAGGCGGTATCTACTTTGGATGGAGATGGCGGATGATGGGTCCAAGGCTTTATGCAAGTGTCTTGAATCAGTCCAATGAAAATAAAGGCACCCGAACGAACGTACATCTTATGAACTACGATCCAAGATGAATATTCCACCATATTGGGCATCGTTGTCCTATTTACAGCTCGAAAAATTGTGGCACTATCAAAACACTCAAAAAGGCCAAAATATGAAATAGATCTTCAAGATATAACATCAACACGTTATCTTGATATTTCCAAAAAAAAAAAGAACTTTTCCCTTCATCTGAGTATTTCTAGTAATTTCCTTTAGAGGTAAATGTCAGAATTTAATTAGTCTCTGTTGAATCCCAAAGGTTCTAATGAATTTATTTTCAAGATCAATAATATTTTTGACTTTTGGTAAAGTTTTATATCTCGACATACTATTCATTGTTTAATTATTTCGGCTTGGCTACCTTGAATCCACAACGGATGACCTTCAACGTTTGATGCTCAGCAGATTAATAGTAACCGAACCAAATGTCAATATCAAACTCTCTCAAGAGTCATAATTAAAAGAACTTTCAAAGTAAGGTGGCTTCATTAGTTTCTTGAAGTACTAATTCAGGAACAAATCTCTATGTCGTCTTCATAATTTGGAAGTCAACCAACAAAGAACGGCATGTTTACATGTTTAAACGCATCTCTCATCCTGTTTCAAATTCACTTTTATTAGCAGATATAACCTAAAATATGGAATCATTTAAATAAAGTGTAACGAACTTTTCCAATCTATTTCATCAATATAAAATAAATATCGTACCATTCTAACAGCTTAAGAAGTGCCCAAATCATAATTTTTATGACCTGGTGCATCTATCGACGCTTATCTGTTATAAGCAAGTCCACATTCTACCGATTCCCTGTAAAAAAAATAATAAATGACAATTGGAAATAATAATAAAATAATACGATAAATATATTGAATATAAGTAAAATAAATACCTTTGCACGTTATTCCCTATAGTATCAAGCGCCATAATAAATAACATGCCCGTCTTTGTTCTTTAGCTTCATTTTCGTATTTATCTGATCAAACCGTTGGTGTGAATTCCAGGATTACTCTCAGTGGTTTAATAACAGTTATGAAGGTGATTGTTCGAGAAAAAAAAAAAAAGTATTACCATTGCTGTAAATTAGTATATACAGAAATAAATTGATGGCCGTTTCTTTGAATGATACTCACAGGATATTACCGCATATAGTGCATCTAATTACAAATCGAAATAATAATCGTAAACATTCCTTCGGATATAACGATCAAAGAGCAACAAATAGAATTTAAATAACATATATGTCCGATAAAATACTAAGTTAAAATGCTTTTTTTCCAATAAAATTCCGGACTCTGCCTCTTTCGAATTCCCTTTAGTAGTTTCGCTTAAATCTCTTCGAGCATGAATAATGATCTAGACGAATTCATGTCTTTAGAAAATTTTTTCCAAGCTTCAAAATGCTAAAATTACGCGTCAATTTTCTTTGAAGAAGCCACGAAAAATTAGAACTTTTGACATTATTACAGCACACTACTGCTCGACAACAGCGTTGGCCGCATTGTGAAAGGCATACAAAGATTTTTGCTGCTCAATTAGTAGAGCAGCATCTGAATTCTAAAATACGTAAAACATTTGCTGGTAAAGTTTTTGGAGGGTTGGAATGCCTGAGCGGATAAGTCGTGGGCATTACTAACGATCGCTGCTATATGTGCCGACCCGTTACGAACGGTTGAATTGACTTCCAGCAGTATAAATTAAAAGAACTTGTCATGTTCTGATTTTGGTAATTGGCCACTTTTTCAATTTCTATTTACAGTTAGTTTACTTTCTCAATTCAATTATTCAAAAAATTTATTAAATTTTTTCCAGGTTTCAACAAATCCGCTTAATATTTTTCTTGTTAATAAGAAATTTTATCTCGGCACGAGATAGGTAAAAAGGTAATTACGCTTTATTTTAATAAAATTGTGTTTTATATATATATTCATTGAATAAAAGCAATTTATAGTGTAGGTGAAACCGTTATTAAAATTGGAACTAAACATCATAGATATTATATTTTTCCTGCGTGGACAATTTTAGGCGGGGGAATGGAAGCAACTGCTATATATGATGATGACAACACATCGTTAGCTCAAAAATATTGGATCACTAAACGTAGGTTTTTCAAAAATTATATCAAAACGAATAAATGTTCATTTTTTTTTAATTTTAAAATAATATTATTGTTATTTAAATATTTCTTGGACTAGTTTGCTATTCATGCAAAATGGACTGTTGTTTTTGCTCAAACTATAATTCGTGGCCATAATGAAAGAATACATGCTATTCTTGTCAAAATTCGCAAGGAAAAGTATGTTTAACAAAGTTTTTAAGCATTTATTTTTGTATTTCTATTATGAAACCTTCAGAAGGCGTCATAAAACTAAGTGTATTTCTACCATGCGAATTTAGCAAATTGTGATACAAAATATAAGTTGTCTTACATCGAATTATAACTTACAGGAGTTTCTTTAACTAAAGCATCAACATTTTACCTATACAAGGTACATATCGATGAAAATAATAAATTTTCAAGTTGCGTCAAAAATTGTCGTGGGTACGTAATTTATGATGATCATGTCTATTATGATTTCTTCAAGAATCTTTTTTTTTTCAAATGAATGTACTGAAATCATTATTGATATTTTTAACGCTTTAGATTAAAAATATCTGATTCCTATGGATGGGCGTTAATTAACCTGGTTAATTAACCACTGGAATTCAGATGCTGCTCTACTAATTGAGTATCAAAATCTTCAATATAGTCAAGAATGCGTAGAATGTTGTAATCGCGTCAAAGTTCTACTTTCCGCGGTTTCTCCAAAGAAAATTGACACGTTTGAGAGAAGTATAAACGCGCAATTTTAGCATTTCAAGCAGAAGAAAATTTTCAAAGACATGTGCGGATCCTTATGAATACATCTTGATCATTATTTATGCCCGAAGAATATAAGCGAAACTCCTAAGAGAATTCGAAGAGGCAGAGCTTGTGAATGATCATGTTATTGAAGAATATATTTAAATAGCATTTAAACTTAGGAAATGTATGTAGAATTTAATTCCATTTGTTGCTCTTTGATAGTTCAATTTGTAATTAGGTGTATTATGTGAAATAATATCCTGTATCATTCAGAGTAATTTATTTGTAAATACTAATTTACATTTTATATTAAAAAGGTTTTGACAGGAATGGTTGATCAGAAAACTATGGATAAATACGAAAATGAAGCTAAAGAACAAGACGGGAGACATGGTATTCTCATGGGCACTTTATCCAAATAAGGAAGTACGTGCATTTATATTCAATATATTTATCGTATTGATTTTATTATCATTCCGATTGACTTTTGACTTTTTTTATTTTTTACAGGGAAAATAGTGGACGTTCTTATATTGAACAGATAGATAAAATTTATGTACCTTGTATGATTGGCGACGACTCTTAAACAGACGTTAGAATATTGGTATGATATTTATTTTCTATATTAGTTAAACATATTGGAAATGTTCATATAAATAACACAATATTTCCATTATCACTTTATTAACATTATCATACTTTATCATACTTTGTCATATCTGTTATGAAAAGATTTGCAACAGGATTTAAGAGAGCCGTTTAAACATGTGAACATGCCGTTCTTTGATGCTTGACTTTCAAATTATGAAGCCATGCACGATTCCTTACTTTGAACGTTCTTTTGATAATGACACTCTTGAAATTGAAACCTGGTTCGTTTATTATTGATCTGCTGAGGGAGCATCAAGCGTTAAAGGAGATCAGAAGTTTGAATAATCATCTGTTATGCAATCAATGATGAACCTTAAGATTCCAACAGAGACAAATTAAATACAGATACTTACAATACCTCCTGAAGGAAATGCTCATATGAAGGATAAGGTTCCTTTTTTTTTTTTTTTTTTTTTGGAAAAATATTAAGATAACGTGTCGATTTATATCCTGTAGATCAGTATTTTTTTTTATTAAAGGTTTTCTCTATTTCATATTCATAAATATGTTTGTTAATTATGAAGGTTATTTCTTAAAATTTACTCGTCGGCCTTGAAGATTGTATTATCATATGTAAATAGCTTTTATTTAAGGTGATGCTTGATGTTTCAATAGATACCGTATATTGATGCCTTTTGATTTAACGGAAAAAGTGATAAAGCCAACGAAAATGAAAATGAACAAACTTTGATGCAATTTACTCTGTGAAATTAAAAGGAATATTAATTTGAAGTAGGCCATTTAAAAATGATGGGATTGCACAATATAAAATATGTAATTTCTTTATTGGTAATAAAATTAACTTTAATTTTATTTTATTGAGTTTAAGAAAACCTATTGTAAATTTAACTAAAAGTATTTATTATAAACAAATAGTATAATCATAAACTTGAAACTAAGCATTAAGAATATTACAACTATAAAGGAGAGGAATTTATTTAGGGAGCAAAATATTGATTTTTCTATAAATCACCATGCCAGGTAAAATAACGCGTATTTTCACGTATTTTATTTAACGAGAATTTTTTTTGAACAAAAAAAAAAAAGAATTTTTGGAGGCTATCAGTGTGAAAAAGAGAATTGTCAATAAAATGTTAGACAAGCATTCATATTAATAATATAATAATTTCAAGCAATAAATTAAAACCCACCAAATCATTTCTCCATTTTTCTTCTCTTATTAAGAAGAGAACGGCGGGCTTTTGATCATAGCCCACCATATCAACTCGTAAGTTGTTCTTCACTCCCTTGGAACCCTCGATCCGAATTGGTTTTACTTGCTTCGGATTCTTGATTTTTCGAATAGGGTTCCTTATTCTTTAGTTTCTTTTTGTCCTCTTCCTTCTCGTTTTCTTTACGCGTATTTACGAGGACGGCTTCTTTCCAAGTTAATTTTAGAGTTGTCAGCAAATGACAAGGAATATGTATGTATTTTTTAGTGACGTTTGGAATGTACATTTTTTTTAAAAAATAATTTTGAGAATATTTTTTTAAATTTTTTTTTGGTCCAAGAAGCGTTGCTTTTATATAAATCAATGATGCATCGATCGCGTGATAATCTTTGTTTTTCTCCATTGTTTATAGCATGACTGAAGTTTGATTTCACTGGTCGATCAAACAAGGATTCTGATTGGCTGAATCTATTTGCGTAAGAAATCATTTCGTAATACAAATATTGAAGTTTCACGAAGGCTTTCAAAAGAAAATAATCAACTTTTCAGATTTTAAACTTGCTCACGTGAATACGTGAATCCCAAAAGCTTTTGATAAAAAAAAGACCTAAGTTTTATATATACTTTTTTTTTTTTTTTTTTTTTTTTTTTTTGACGATGTGGCACTGCCAGTAACTTTATTAAATTTATACAAAAGAAATACAAAGTAAATCAAATAAATCTAGACTAAGTACTAGCTATCCCCCGTAGTTATATTACAAACCCGTTTGAATCGACCGATCATCGTCTTCCCCTTCCAACAAAATCCACTAAGTTTATACCTAATGAAAATTGCTATCAACAAGAGAAGAAAAAGAAAGAGTCAGTGCCTATCTAAAAATCCGTAAAGGTGTAGCCGAATTTATTCGCCATGTATATCCAAGATTCCCAATTATATCAATTATATGTAGGACTTGATGTTTCTTCGTGTCTCAAGAATGAACTGGCACCTCGTTTAGTCTTATCTTTGATTGTGATACCTAATGAACGTTCTTTTGCTATCATGACTAACCATATTTGCATTAAGATCTCACGTATCATTTGACAAGATTAGTGATTTGTAAACAAACTCTATTGTGAATATTCATTTTAGCCTAATAATAACCAGAAACATGACGTAATGTCACCAATAAATCCATTATTCCTTCCCCCATTCAATTAATTTTGGTATTGAATGTAAATTGACTTTTTCCTTCCTTAATTTATTTTTCTCCATGTCTGAAGCAGTTTAAGGTTGCCCGGAAATACCTCGAGGCAACGAAGACGTAAAATCGAAACTGAATTGACGTTTTTTATATTTAAATTAAAGGCAAAACCGTGACAGTTTCGGCGAGTAGGTAAATGTTTCGACGGGTGGTAAAAGCTTCGATGTATGAACCTGATTTTTACCCGGGTATATTGTGGACTGTTGAGTATTCGCGTGAGTTTTCTAAGTTTAATAATTATTTAGCATCCCGTCATAAGAGAAATGATTATTTAGGACATAGACAAATTTATTACCACGAGCCTTATGCTATTTTATATATTTTTACAATCTAACAAATGATAATTGATAGGCAAAAAAAAAAAAAAATGAAAATGACAAAGGTATCTACTTTATCATGGCAGTTTTTTAATTTGTAATGTTACGTGGAATAAAAAAAATAAAAAGATCTAATTATCCTTTGAGTTATAATCCATGATTTGTATGCAATCCCAACATGTTAAACCCGTTAAATTTTGAATTTTTGTTAAATCAACCATCGAAATCCGTCGAAATTTTCGAAGTTTGAATTCTTTTTTTTTTGTCCTTTTTATTAAAAAAAAATTTTAGAATCGCTAAATTATAGAATGATCAACATGTGCCGAAAACCAAATTTTCGCATGAAAATAAAGTTTTCCACAAATTCACATTCTACTTTTGAAAATATTATTTAACACGATTTATCACGTGAGTAAAATTGAAGTTTGACTTTATTAATCAATTTTTTTTATAGAATCTAAACTTTATGGTATATTAACAATGATCGTTAGAAATTTTTTAAATTAATAAGAAAAAAAAATATTTTTTTTTCCCAATTACTGACACCAAAAATAGAGAATTTTTAATACAAATTTATTGTGTTTACTGTGCACAATGGCGTCAAATTAAAAAAAAAAATTCTCGTCCAATGCCCTAATACTAAATGTAAAAGCATGAAATATTTGAAGTACTAAAAAGCAATTGAATTAAGTATATAACCACAGTCCTTAGTGCTAAAATATAAATACAAATAAAAAATGTTCATACTTAAAGAAGCATAATTAGAAAATAATCAAATAAACGAAATAATCGCTAAAATTTCACAGTATTGAAAACAATAAATTTAAAAGAATTAATTGAAAAAATATATATAAATTTAATTTAAATTTTTTTTTAAAAAAAAAAACAGAGGATTCGCTTTTTTTTATTTCATTTGTCATTCACAAATAATAAAGCATCTTCAGTGTTTTGCTCTTATACCTCAAAAGCTTCCTTGACTTCCCGAGCTAGCAACTAAATTCGTAATTTAATATTAATAATATGTTAATGCAAGTCATTTATTGTAATAAAAAGATACTTACGGCCCATTTTATAATACATTCGTAAAAGAATACGAAATCCCCCATCTCTGTAAAGTCGCATGGTAGATTGGCGTTGTCTACTTCATTAAGGCGGAATTTTCCTCCTCCTAATTAGAATTATCATTAGTCAATATAATCAGTAACTAATACAGACAAAATAAAGGATATACCACAATAATCCATAAATTGCAAATGAATTCGGGTTAGAAAACTTTGACCACCAAAGATGGCCAGAGGTTTGGGTATTCTTCTTCCGCACTTTACTTTATCATTGACCACGCTTAAAAAAATGTTTTGTAGGTTTTTGGAGAGTTTCGAAGCATCTGCCACTTTCTCATCTTTGTCGTTTGGCCTCAAACCTTCCATCTAAATATCCTAAACCGTCTGCGTATTCTTGTAAATCGTTATTCGTGGTTATCTCTCCGAACTCGTAATTTATAGATGATATGTACCATAGGCTGACTTGCACAAATTCATTTAAATGCGTTCTTTTTAACGCAGTCAAATTCAAAAGAGGATTATTTGGTCCTTGCGAAAATGCCATAATACTATAAAAAATTAAGAAGATGCTGTAACTAAATCACTGATTTATAGGGAAAAAGTTTGTACTTACAAAATTGGTAAAGTCTTGCGCAAGATTCGTATCGTTGAAACCATTAAATGATCATTTTTATCCGAACATTGTAGATCATCAATCTTATCATTCCAAATCACTGCCCGTTAAATTCTGACCGAAAAATTTCATTAAAAAGTTGTGGATGTTCGACGGAATCATACTTTCGATCCGGTTATCGAGCTCTTCAAGATAAGGCACTAGAATGTTTGAAGGAAGTTGTTTTGTAAAAATCGAATTGGGCCTCAAATCAATCAGAGAATCATTTGAGCAGATTTTATTGAGGTATTCACAGATCAACATCATATTTTCAGAACAATGAAATTCGGATTCAAATATATCTTGTAGTGACATTTCATTCGGATCCTAAAGAATAATACTATAAATACATTTTCTAAAATCGTACATTTATAAAAGAATATACTGACTCACCGCTACCATTTGATCATCGTCTATTTCACGTCTCTGTTCGGAAGATTCAACTGGGATGTATGTTTCTAAAGTAAGTAGATTCTATAAATGTGTTAACAATCATGTTTATAGATAATAATCTTTATGCAATGCATCAGTAAATACAGTTAATTACCAAAGATTTTCATCGCCATCAATTTTAATTTGAGGGGATGTTTCTTGATCCTAAAATGGAAAAGTTAGAATATTAAATTAATTTGCAGAAGATATATGTTAGCACACTAAACTTTCTATTAGACTTTAAAGTCAAAACCTCAGAAAGGAAAACAAATGATTGCATATACAAATACAAGACTAAATTATTCGACGTTTGAAAAAGGTACATGGCCGATTCTTCCTCAGGAACATTATGTATGGAATTCAAAAAAAAAAAACATTCCAGCTCTGAACATGTCAATGACGTGCTATTGATCTCTTCGTAACGCTTATAAAGTGTCTTTACCTTTGCATTAATCATGGCTTCTTCCATAATATTTAAATAGTATCTTTTTGTATTACTTCTAAGCCTCCTATAATTTTATTGCTACGATATTTAAGTAACTAAGGTAAAAGTGGGAGGGAAGAAAGAAAATTATTATTTTAACTTGAGAGCAAAGAGAGAAAGTGAGAAATCGTACGATAACAAAAGTTTATTATATAATACTATTTTATGCAGCTTGTCGATCCTCATCAATGTCGCGAAAAAAAAATGTTTTCTATTTATGGTGTTTAATAGTATTAAACAAAATGTTTTTAGTTGGATTATCCACAAATTTTGAAACAATAGCTAGTTAACGAAAAACATCAACGAATATAAAAGTATCTCGTAAAAAAAAAAAAAAAAAAAAAAAAAAAAAAAAATGCCTCTTCCAACTCGTTAGTTCCAATAATGGTTTAGTATGTTTTCAATCATTAGTGTTTATCACGGAACGTATGGTTTTTATATCGATTTTATCATTTTTTATTTTTTTTATTAACGTGCTAGGATTAGGAGGTCAGGATTATGTGGTAGCCCGTATAGAAACCAACGTTTGGCGTAAATATTGCATAAATTTTCTGTTTAATGCCAAGCAAATGTTTGTTTGACAGATCAGATAAGAAAGATAAGAAGAAAAATTGTAAAATTGCGAAGTATTAAACACCGTAAATAGAAAAACTTTATTTATTTTGGACATTAATAGGCTGCACAAGCATGAAAGCATGACGCCAATAATGACTAAATTAGTATATAATAAACTTTTGTTATTGTTCGATTATTTCTCACCAAAATTACACCTTTTAATAATAATAAACGAACCATAAATGGAAAGAAATTCATTTTGTTGAACCTCGTAATGAAATAGTAAAGTTGCTTTAATAACTCATTCAAATTAACGTTCCTGATTCCGTTAATCGTAAGACCTCCTGAATAACTTGTCAAGAACTAATAAACTATCTTTCACGTTTCTAACTCTTCCTTTTGTAATTATTTCCTCGAAAATGAGAATCAAGAAAGATTGGATAGACTCACCAAGTGGCGAAAACCTATTACCTAAAGGTTTCTAAACTTAGTTACTTAGAATCACTGGTCGAAGTGAATGGATCGATTGTTCGATTTATAATGTATAACTTAAAATGACAATAATTTTCAATATCATTTTTATTATATTAGAAATCTAATTTGCATTTATTACATATACATTTCGAACATTAAAGTATAATAAATTTATAATATATAAATTCCAAATGAATTATTAAGCTTTAACGGAATGCTGTCTTTTTATTAATTTTAACCACGAAATAGAATTATTAATATTTTAAATTTAAAAAAATACGAACGAGGCGATTAAAAAATTGGAGTTGTCATTCTATTATATGAAATGTAAATTATATTTTAAAACAGCTAATAATCAAAAACACTTTAATATGATAGTGGGAAAGCTTATCTTCATTAGAAACATCAGCAGCTTTAAAGGCTTAGCCTTGGAAGGGTAATTCTAGTAACTGGTTTCAAATTTAATTGTTAGTCTTTTTTGTAGTTTCTGTCAATTCATCATTCATCCTATTATCAACTTGACCGTCATCACATGTACGAATTGGTTCAAAACTATGCCTTGTAGGATCTGTTAATGATGTTTCCCTAATATCCGCGTCTACAAAACTGAAAATCATAAGTATTATTAAATGATTAAAATTATACTTAATGATAGTTCAAAGTTGCATATTAAATAATGAATTCTCTAAATCATTCTATGAAGAAAAAAAACGGAAAGTATAAGGCGTCATCACGACAAGTGAGAAATATTTTTAACGCTATATTATTGCATCCTCAACTATTTTCTCAAATATTTACTAATCTATCGAAATTCATGTTTAGGAAACAGCATCTGCATCTGTGGGTTTATTAAAGGATAGGGTTTTTTCTAGTGATGAACACGTATCGAAGAAAAAATTAGGAAAAAATAAGCATGTATATTAGTCCGCCACCATTAGCATAGTAATTCGTCACGTATCCCGAGTTATGTATTTAATCAATGAGCTCTTGATTATCGTTATGCGTGATCATTTGACAACGAAAATCAGGGACATTCGCGTTTGCGATCACAGCGGAAATAGATAGCATGAGTATGAAAAAAAATATATTAGGTGGTGAGGGGTATTTCAAATTCTATTTGTGAACTTTGCTAATACTCACTCGGAAATTTACTAAAATTCATGGTTATATCAAAACCTTCTGTATGGTTGGTGGAATGTTGGATAAACTTATAATTGGGTGATTTTTTCGGAAATGCACTTAAAGAGACAAAGTTAGTAGCAAATAGCGAGTCCAAAAAAATATGCAGTTGAACTGGCTTTGGATCCGATGAATGAACACGCCCTTCATGCAGTCACGCGAATAAATAAACTTTTACGATGTTATATACAAAATTTTATTAAACATTGTATGACATGTAAATATTAATTATTGCAAAATTAAATAAATAAATAAATTATTTAAATTATTAAGCCAGTCAGTTCTTGCTCGGCAATAACTTGTGGCGCAATAAGTTAAATTTGAATAACTATAAATTCTATTACAGCTTCTTTAAATACTTTATTAATTAATTCACCGAAAAAGTTAATTTTCATTAAAAAAAAAAAAAAAAATTAAATAAAAATATAGTTTGATTTGACAACCTGATTTGTCAACCTAATTTATAATAACTTACAGTAATATATACTTTAGATGTAAAAGCAAATTACCGCGCCGTATCACGTCGCTTTGGCGCAGTTTTCGCGTTTTTTTTAAAAAAAAAATTCATCAATTTGAAAAATCCTACAATGTCATTTAAGAGAGTTAATTACTAACAAAAAAAAAAAGTCGAGAAACTTTATTTAGATCGTCATTATAGGAAATAGAGTTTGCAGTTTGCGGGGGACTTCGCCCGTTTAGCATTAAATAATTGATGGAAGTTTAATTTTTAATAATTAAATTAATTTTCTAATTTAATTTTCTTTTCAATTAATTTTTTTAATTATTTTTATGAATTTTTTTTTAATTTGTATTTTATTTTAATAATAAATTTTTTAAATAGCAAATTAAAAAAAAGAAAATCACTAAGTTTACACGGGGGCGTCCTTAACCTATGGAGGGGGTGTAGACCCTTATCGTCCAACCCCATGTATAAATAAATAATTTTAAAGTATATATCACGTGACATATACAGTTACGGTTTAGGATAAAGGTCTACACCCCCTCCCTAGGTTAAGGATGCCCTTTACACGGGGTGTATGTACACATATCTCGTGATTAATATATATGTCATCGGTGTCACGCCCCTCCGCCTTTAGTTTTTACTATTTATTTAGAATTTTTTCGGTGAAAAATTCTTATTCGTCATTCATTATCCGTCACATGGTCATCACACGGGTAATTTCTTAATTTCTTTATGCTGGTAAAAGTAATGTTAATGCCGGCCATATCACGTAATCCGTGTACAATATAACCGTGTACAAATAGAAAATGCCTTAATTTTTATTGTATTTTATTTATTAATTTTTTAATAATTTATTTATTTTTTATATTTTAAATTTATTTTAATATTTTTGTTTATTTAATTTAATTTTTTATTTAGTTTTTTTTTAATAAGCATTATTAAAGTTGGTTAAAACTTAACCAATAATACTAATAGCAAATTATATACTATTTTATTTTATTTAAATTTTAAATAAAATGATTAAAAGTTATTAGATAGCATAAAAAGTGAATTTATGTATCATTATTATAATAAACTTCACAAATATCAAACCTACTTTGATGAAAATTGAGATTTGAGTAATTTCAGACCTTCTGAACAATTTTACTTAAATCATAAAAGGCGATTTTCTTAAACTAAAGTGCTAAAATAATGCAAAATGTTAAAAAGTAAATTTGTATATCATTAGCATTATGAAATCTATAAATACTAAAACAACTTTAACAAAAATTGAGATTTGAGTAATTTTGAATCATTTGAATGATTTTACTTAGATTATAAAAGGCAATTTTTTTGAACTAAAGTACTAAAATAATGCAAAACATTAAAAAGTAAAATTGTATATTATTAACATTATGAATTCCATAAATACTAAACCAACCTTAATAAAAATTGAAACTTATGTAATTTTGGAATTTCTAAACAACTTTAATTATATCATAAAAGGTAATTTTCTTGAATTAAAATATTAAAATAATGCAAAACATTAAAAAAGTGAATTTGTGTATCATTAATATTACGAACTTTATAAATATCAAACTAACCTTAATGAAAATTGAGATTGAGTAAATTTGAATTTACTAAACAATTTACTTAAGGTATCTTATATATTTATCTGACTAAAGTTTTATATTTCACTTGAAATAATTTGTATAAAAAAAGTAAAAGAATATTTTTTTGCAAAAAATACTACTCAAAATTATTTTTGTAATCTAAAATGTACAAAATTATTTATAATTAAGCAGGTATATAATATTTGATTTGATTTGTATTTTTTTTTTAAATAAAAGATTAGACTAATTATAATATTTACAAATATATAAAATAAGAAACATAAATTTAAATTATTTTTAAATAAAAAAATTTTGTAATTAAAAAAAAAAAATAAATAATAAATTGATAAATTGATTATTTAAAATATATAATACAAAAAATATAGCATAAATAATAATTTTTATGCTAATTAAAAATAAGAACAAAATAAAATAAATTGATAAATTTAATAAAAATACATTTTATTTAAATATGATAGTTAAATTTAACACAATATAAAAGTGATACAGGAAAGCTTAAATCACAAATTTATTCTAATGATAATATAGCAGTATATAGTATAGCAGCAGAAGCTACTGCATCTGTATCTTATAAAATAGTTATATAAACTTCAAATTTGATATTCACAAAATACAATACTAAAATCAGTCAAAATATATTGAGATTGATGAAGATTTATATAATTAAAGAACAAATTAAGCAAAAAGTAAATAAATGCAAA